TTAATCGTTAGATCACGTGATCTTGCCATAAAGTTATAATTGTTTAAAGGATATAAAACTTCGAAGAAATCCGAAGAATTTAAGAAACTTTAGAGGAATGCTAATAGAGTTGTAGTTCGTAGAGAAGATTCGGAGGAGATATAATACTAATTTATTTTTTAAATAAAATTAAAAGTTTCAAATTTTAACATTATAAGAAAAGAAAATTAAGTTGAGAAAACTAAAGAAGTAGAAGATTTTTTTTTTTTTTTTAAAAAAGGAAATTGGCTGATCAACACCTTACAAAAACCAGCTACCAGCAGCAGTAAGACAAGCAAAGACACTAAGCTAATGCACGACTTATTGATCCTGCTTTCGTGGGTAGCAGTGAAATCAGATAACCATCACTTATCACACCGTTAACACAAAATCAAAAATACAACAGACGACACACAATACATTAATATTTATTATGATTAAATCAAATAACACATTAAACAAAGAGTGTTATAGTCCCTCTTTTTTTTCTTTTTCCTTTTTTGCTCAGCAAAAACCAGTACTTTATTGCTCTTAGAGATAAAATATACATCCCCAACTAAGAGCCTCATTAAAAACCCCTAAACCTAAATGGGGAAAAGAGTACTCCACAGTTAGGGGACAGTACATCCAAACTGCAGAAAACACAAATAAACGGTAGTAGTAAACAGGAAATGCGACCATTATGAAGGCCGCTTATTTATATCTTATCTTAAACACACACAAGCTGCTTAAATATTAAGATCACGTTTAACCTTCCAGTGGCCACTGTGGTCCTCTTGTTCCATTCTTTTCCGATTCTCACCATCCCACCAATAAGTAGGAACTCCATACTCAACTTTCAGTCGGTCCAAATGTTTGTTCACCAGCTTATAATCAATATCAACTTCCAGATGAAATTTGTCTCCTTCTTGCTCTCCTGCAATCGCATGCACGTATACGTCCATATTGTGAGCGCTGAAAAAGTCATTCACCCAGCTTCTTTCCTCTATTATTCCCACCTCCTCCGTATCAGTATATGCCCTGTCCAACAGATTCCACTTCAAGTAGTTTGATTTGTTGCTATTAACTGTTAGCTTTTTCCCCAAATGGGTGTAGGGAGAAACCGGCATTTTTGGCACGACGTCCTTGGCGTTTTTAATGCGTAGAATTTAAAGATGATCCAGTTTTCTGGATAATTTCTCCAGACCATAGTATCCGACGCGAGGAGCACCGTATGTGAAGGCTGCACCATGCACGGCGGCGAATGATTTGATCTGGCTTTGTTAAATCCATTTGCAACTATGTCCATTGCGTTGAGCGTGGCCAGGGCTCCACCCAAGCTAAACCCTGTGACGGTGATGCTTACTTCTTCGTCTTTGTATTTTGTCAGCAGCTCTTTCAAGGCTTCACGTACCTGCATCTGCATGCATGCATGCAGTTTGTGCGTATTTAGCTTATCAAATAAATAGTGTGAATATATTTAAATAGTATGAATTAGAGTTTACCATTCAATCAATTTGAGTAAAAAATTATAATTTAATCAAGTTGACGACTTTTATTTAATTTTTTAATCGAATCAAGATATCTAAGGTTTAAATTTAATCATAAATATTTATAATATTATGTTACTAATCGATTCTAATTTTGACACCTTTCTATAATCATATATGATATACATAAACATTTATTCATATATTTCACGTGTGATATACACATATAACACATAATTGAAGAGTTCATCTAGGACTTGAAAATAATAAACTAATTATTAAGAATTCAAGTTATTTATGTCCTATTTTATAACTCAAATTTTATTAGAATTCTTTTTAGTTAATCGAGTTGGTAAATCTTATTTTATAATTCAAAATTTATTTGAGACTTTTTGAGTCGAGTTGTTTGAGGTTTAAATTTAATTGTAATTATTTATAATATTATGGTACTAATTAATTTCAATTTCAACGGCTTTTTGTACTTATATATATATATATATAATATTCATATTTTTCATATGCGAATTATACAGAGGTGAATGACTCAACTTGAAATTGAAAATTAATCTATTAATTACTAAAAATTTTGAATTATTCAATTCCTATTTTATGACTCAAATTTTTTTTGAAATTTTTTCGAGTTGAGTCAAATTTTTTTTAACTTCGAATTGAATAAAAAAATTTAATATATCGGAGTTGTGTCGCCTTTAGCTCATCCTAGTATGAATATATTCAGATAAATTACCTGGTGTCTGGCACTCTTCTTCACGTCAATAGAATCAGACCTTGTTCCTGTATAAAAGGAAAGGAAGCCAGAGTGCACCGTTGCCTCAGATTCAGTCCCGAACAGTTGTTCAGCAGATTGCTGAGCGGAGTTGAGATTATTAAGCCTCTCGGAGAAAGTTATGGTTCCTCTCCAAGCAATCAAAGTGTCTCTCCTTCCAAGAACACGCTTCCCATCATCCGTGGTCACTGCCACAAACCCAAACCATGCGGGATTAACCACTTCCGAACCCGCATAAATGTAATGAGACACGTCGTACTTGAACTCGTTTCCTTTTACAAGGCCCGCCTCTTGGAAAAACTTCTCTTTGGGAAGTTGACCGTGTCTGTTGTAATTAAAAAGGTCTCCGACGGAGCCGGCCCTTTGGCCGTAGTGAATGATATAACGACGGAGATCGAGATCCAGGGGATAGAGTAGACCGTCCCAGCCGTCCTCGCCGCTCAGTTTTCTCCATCGATATGCTCTGTTTTCTTCTTGTTGTGATGGGGGTTCATTTATATAGAGTACTTGTGGCTAAAAACAGGCGGAACAGGAACCGATATGAATCCAAGGGGAAAGCTTACCTCTTGAAGTCAATACCACAGATAAATCACATGAGTTCATTTTGAATACGAATTTCTTTGTCCTTTCAAAGCTAAATTATAATTAATTTATTCCAAATTTAAAATATTGTATACGAAAATATATCTAAATTTACGTTTTTTAATATTTTAATAATAATATTAATCGAATTGAGATTCAATCGATTTAATTCAGCAAAGCAAGAAAAAAAAATGTTGGTGGATACCATGCTATTATAATAAGAGGATTTGTTGCATCTACCTTCTCGAAGCTTTTACCTGTTGAAAGATTGAACACGTTGTTCTTTGGTATCACCAGTACACCAGCAAAATTAGGTGGAAGCGAAGGTTTATATGAGAACTATGTTTTAAAAGTATATTATATTTATTTCATTTGAAAAATGGGTTTAAAATAATAAATTTTATATGAAATGAGACCCGAACATGAATCCTTATGGTTTCGACTTCATCGCCTAGGTTCAAAGTAACTTTAAATAACAACTTTAAGGTCAGGTCATTAACTTTTCATCAAAATTAATCCACAAATTCATAAAATAAAAGTTTAGTTTAAGGTTTTCTTTCATAAACAGTTTGTGGGATAGAAGACCTCTCTTGCAGTTACTTTTCTTTCATTATCCAAAAGACACTAGAGTTAACTTCGCATTTGGCTGATCTCACAAGCCTGATGTGTCAACGGTGGTGCCTTTTTCGGTCACTTCTATGTTATTTTTATTTTTTAATTAATTATTGTTTGAGTTTATTAATTTTTATTTTAATGTATTTATAATAATGTTTTCTAGTGACACTAATCCTGTTAAAGAATATAATGGGTCCCAATGTTTTTGAGTTTCCGGTGTATTATTTTTTCATTAATCTTATTCTTGATATGTAGTTCTACGAGATTCTTAGTTATTTGCCTTCTCTTTGTTTATTTTTGTTTAATATTTTATTAATTTTTAAATATATGCATTGGATGGGGCTATTGTTAAGGGAAAATTCATTTTCATTCATTCACTTTAAATATTTTCTAAATCTTCATCCTTTATATAGTTTTCGGGAACGTCGAAGTGATCCCTCTTTATTTGACTAATGAATGCATGACACATCCCTACTTTAAAAAAATCGATCAATTATTTCTAGAAATAATATTATATTCATTGCATAAATTTACACCCTATCAAATACTCCTAAATTAATATTTCATAAAATAATTTTATTTTTATATAGAATACTTAAATCATATCCCATATATATATAGGGATAAATTCCAATCGTATATGTAAAACTAATAAGTTTCGCACTAATTTATAATAATTAAATTTAAATAAATAAATAAATGACTAGACTTGATTAAAATTTATAATCTATAAATAAATATTTCTTTAACTAACAGTAAAATAATATCTTTTTTTACTCCAAACCGCTAAAATCCCTAAATCCTAATTCTTACAAACTACGTACTAAACCCTAACCCTAAAAAGAAAAATATTATTTACTATAAATTAAAAAAAATATTTATAAGTTATAAATTTTAAATAAATTCAAACCTTATTTAAATCTAATGATTACAAATTAGTGTAAAACTTATTAGTTTTACATAGTATAAATAAATCCTAGCTCGGTTATATATATTAGATAAAATTCCATTACACAATATAAGAAAAAAATTATACTGATTTAAATCATTGTTAGAATAATAAAAATAAATGGTTAAGATTAAATAGGAAATAAAAAAAATTCACTGCAAAAATAGAAAATAATCTCTACTCATTCAACAATCCTAAATAAATTAGCATGTTCCATCAAAATTTCCTTGAAAAAACGTTTTTATTCTCACATAATATTTTCCATGAAAACTGTTAAAAAAAATAAGCATTTCCAAAATTCATTTCGTAAGATTAATGATATATATATTTAATAAAATTTTCACTGAAATAAAACTTCAGTTTTTTTTTCTTTCAAAAAAAGTTACTAGAATATATTTCCAACAGTACTTTCATAAAAGTACCTATTTCTGACAGAAATGGCTGCTGCTCATCATTACCCAAACTCATGACAACTTGTATGCATTATCGACATAGTTAATGTAGTTCCAAAGTTGATGAAAAAACACAACGGCGAGCATTTAAAGGCAAAAGAGTTTATTCACATCATCTCTAAATCTTATTCTTTTCCTTTACCTGGCTTGTGTGCTATGCTCAGCTCTCGGTTTTACATATTCTTCACATAAACACATGAACAATGCTCACATAAATGCAGAGATCAAGTCCCATTTCCTAATTGCTTTTGAATGTCGTTAAACGATATTGTGGCAGAACCCCTTCTTTTGGCCTTCTGTTGAGAAGGATGTTCTCTCCACCCTGTCATGTAAATCACCTACAAAAGAAATGAAAACCATATGTTAATGATTACTTAATTATTTTATTCCGACTCTCAAGTCAAACCTTCGATTTCGATAGAAGCTTATAAAATGGTGTGGAAATGCCAGAGAATGAGCTTAGTAGTTATGCAATTAGGCTACACATGCTAAACCAAAGATGAAATACAGAATATGTTTCAGCCCTAGGAGAGGTGGCCTGGAATAGACATTTTCAACTTCAACTCTCAAATTCAGATGCTGAGTTAGGATTTATATCTCTCTCTCTCAATGGATTAAGGAAGAAACAGTTTAAGGTAGAAGAATCTGTTGTTGCCAAGACGATTACCGGCCATGCCAACAAAACAGAGAATTTCAAAACCAAGTGTAATGGTGAAAAGGAGAGAAAACAGATCATATTCAAATCAAAAGCCAAAAAAACCATAGCTGATTCATTTTCTAAGAATAGTTTATTGCAACCAAATGGAGTCTGTCATGCATGATGCGCTGAAGATTCTCAGACTTGCAATCCATATTAGTATTACCAAAAGGGGGAGAGATGACTACTGGACTTTTTTTTTTCTTTTTTTAATTTTCCTTTAAAGTTCCTCATATGATTAGATTGCTCGGTCAGCTCTTCCACTTTCAGTCAACTAACAAGCAATAATCTTCTATAAGGGAAGTGGAATTAAAGCAAAGTTAGATCACAGATATCAAATTAATACAAAAGATAAATGATTTCTTTCCTTTCAAAGAAAATTAATACAAAAGATTTGTTGGTCTCCATATTGTCTTTATTTCAAATGAAAGCCCTTGGAATGGATATTAATGCACTGACCTGGAAAGTTGCAGGGATGGTTCCGTCTTCAGCTGCAAACATCGAATCATAGATGGCTGCAGTTGCTACAGCTGTTTCCCTCTTAAGGATCTAGTTTCAAGGTATAGTACATAAAGGGTTTTGAGGTTAGATTATCTTATTCTTTGTTTGAAAACCACCTAGATTAAATGGGACAGACATCAGTGTCCAAAAGATGTCTTACATTGCTCCTTTGCAGAAGAGCATTCGTTTCACCCATTGCTCGCAAATGTTCAATAAGATCCAAGGCTGTATTAAAAGGAGATATTGTTTAAATCACAATGAAAAATAATGTTAACAAATTAAGCAATGTAAAAAATAGCAGGCCAATGAATCATTGAATTGGAGGGAAAGGTACACTAGCGTGCATGAAATACTCTGCAGCATTAGAAATCACGTTGATACACATTTCCTATGACTTTTGTCCAGATGGAAAAGGCACAATAGCCAGAAGCCTTTTGGCTACAAAAAATACAGCATATCACTAAATAGGAAACTAAGATTGATGCCTTCAGCATCAAATCTCTCTTCTTCGTCTGCTCCCCACCCCACCAACTTCATTATGTTGCAAAAATCCACAACTAAATGGGGAGGACTTCTCATAAGAACTTCATCATAAGGATTTTAAAGAACCTCCAACAATGCAACTAGCGCCAAATTTCATGAGAACTTGGCATTCTCTTTTACAACTCATTCACAATTCGTGCTAGCTCTCTATTGTAAATCTCTACCAGAATAACACAATCCTAGAAACAAGTTGTGATTAATAAACATGAAATTAGACCTCGACATTTTATAATCCCACAGTTGAAAGCATTTTAAATTTGATATATATATCACTTATTACACACAGCTAATGACAATTGTACAAATCAAAATCGAAAAAAGAAAAACAATAAGAGGGAATCTTACCACTCTTATATCTAACCACATATTCATCGACATCCACACCAGGAAGTGCAAAACCTGCCCTGGTCAAAAGGTTGCCAGCATCCCTGACCTGAAGCCAAAAGCTAACTGCTAGTTAACACCGGGATGAGAAAACATTATTTCTTTATTTTAGAAAAATGTTTTGTTATGATGCCTTCATTTTTCATATTGGACACACAATGACAACATTACGCAATTGAAGCATGATTTAACACCAAACAAGCTTAATCACTTATGGTATATTTTAATTTAAATCACCATGGAAAAGCCAACTTGAAATATGCAGACTGGGAGCTAGCTTTACCTCACATTTACTATACTATGAAGGATGCTGCTAGTGTTACTTTCCTATCGCTATTACTAAATATATTTTTCACACTGTTTTTCTTAACTGTCCCAATCCAAAGCAAAACAAAATAGCCTCTGTAATGTAATGCCTACTCGGTAATTCGCACATTTAATTACCTAGAATCTAATTAAATTAGGCGATATGCTTCTTATTGTCATGTCTTATTGCCAATCAATAGTTTATGCACGCACATTGAAACTACAGAAGGAAATTCAGAGATAAACTCCATAGGCATTTATCTGTTTTCTCTACACATTGCAAGATGAAGAAAATTTGTGACTCTGAGCCTCTTTCTCGGTGTAATATCTTCTCAAAAGTCGGAATTCTTTTAAGCCACCTTATATATAGATAAATAGATATTCCAAATAAATGCATACAAATTTACTAAATAGTAGAATTGCAATATCTAAAGTGAACAAGAATTAAAAGACAAGAGTAATAGTATAAAGATTAAGAAACTCAAAAAAAACTGTCACAATTCGAGCAACTAAAATGAGAGAAAACAAGTAGCCAAGTCACATGCCTGTGCCAGAGGTGATACACGTGGACTAATGCCTCCTTCACGCTCCATTTGAGCCACAGTGCAAGCTATTCGTAGCTCCCTATTCAAAAGTATAAGATACACAAGTGAGACATATAGGTAACATGCAAAGATGTAAAAGCTAGGTTCTAATCCGCATAGGAAAAAAAGAGAAGGTTATAGACAACTTTAAGGTTTCTCCTCCAAGAATAGCTGCTAAGAATAGGCCATCCGGCTTCAATGCCAGTTTACACTGTCAAAAATACAATTAGTATGATTGTCATTGTCATTGGGACATAACATTGCGCAAAAGTATATACACTCCTGTTTAAGGCTGGATGCAAATTTACTACTTGCAGCCATACAAAACATTTGAAAAGAATTATATTTTTCTATTATTTGATATATTTTAGGAGAATGGAAGTGAAAACTTGTCCAAAGGAAATAAAATAAGAAAAACTAGTATTTCCTAAAAGTATAGATACGTTGAGTGTATACCATTTGGTATTCAAGTTTAAGCACAATAATTAAGCTAGTTACTAATATCCCAAGCATCACATTACATGCTGTAGTGTACTGATAAACATGCATCAGCCACTACAGCCAATGTTAATCCCTATTGCAACAGGTTTTTTCTTTTTAATATAATAACACCAAGGTTAGCATAGACACTCAATACACTGGAAAACAGAAACACTTACCTGTATCATTGCTCCTGGAAGATCATTTGTCCAATGGAGCCCAAGGCAACTGACTATCAAATCTACTGAACTTTACATCAAGGAATCCAATCAGTTAACACATGAAAGAAATTTTCAACAATAACATATGAAGTAAAATTTTCATGCTTACCTTTCTTTGATGGGCAGAAACTCTTCATCACCAACTACATACGATGTTTCAATATTTTCATCACTGGAATCGGGATGAGAACTTCTGCACGCCTTTAACATATCATACGAGGTATCCATCATAATTACCTTTTCAATTGCACCTGCAAATATCAGATTCATTATGAGTTACTAACCACAAAGGCTATCTTTGACTTGACCATTCAAATAAATCATACACCACTAACATCGGTAACATATATCTGCAAAAGTGCAGAAACAAAGGCAGACAATTCTTAAAATGAGTTATTAATAAATCACTGCAACCTGCAAGCATGTAAAGGAAATTTGGTCAACTACTGAAGATACACCGAGGGATAAAAAACAACATTCTAGATGCTAAATAACATACATAACCTAAAGAGGTGTAAAATTAACAATTTTGGAGCCAAGAAAAGACATTTTCTCAAACAATTAGAACATAGTGGGAGAAAACAAAGGAAAGGATTGAAGGAACAGTTGAGTTAGTTGGAAATAAATACGTATATAGCAGAAGCAGAATGAGATAAGCATGAAGAACAAACTAATCAATGTAAGAACCTGGCTAGAACACAAATTTCATAAGATTAGGATCGCATTTTGGCCTTTACTTAGCAAGGCTCCCTTTATTTGTGCTTTTGCTACTAGCTATCTACATCCTCACATTTTGCAAAAGGGTAAATTGTGGGAAATATGTGTGTCTGTATTTCATTTAAACAAATCAAATCGTCAGACAATAGCACAATAAATAGTTACAATAATAACTCAATCTTCTATTACCTTTAAAATAAAGCTTTAAATTTACACTCTTGTAAAATTCTTTTTGCTTTAGTACCCAAATCCTTATTCTTTTTCTTTTTTTAACTTGCAAAAACAAAGCAGAAAAACCAATAATCAAATCAAGAGAAAATTATGCACCTGTATAACCACAAGCACCTAAAACAAACCAAACCTGAGTAGATTATAAAAATCATTCTTAAATCTGCAAAAGTTTAACATCTTTTTCCTTAACTTAGCAACAACCATCCCATATACTAAAACCTAAATCAGTAAAACTGTGATTACAAACACATACAATTCCATACACTTCAATTGCAATTGGTTTTTGCTCAGCTCAAAATCCTTGATTTTTTCATCGATTTCAAATGAGCGATGTAAAACAATTTATCTGATTGGTAAGGAAGCCTTAACCATGAAGAAACAGAAACTACAAGAATCAGAATCATACAAATTACGTATTTCTAACAGAAACAAGAGGGGTATCAGAACAGGCAAAGAAACCATACATTTTCATTTGAAAATAAAGCGTTAAGCCGTTAACCACTTCACACACTACCTTTAATGACTTTAACCACAGCCACAGAAAAAGAAAATTTCCTCTCACATTTATCTTCCACCTTTCCATCAATTGGGAATGATCCCATCATTGGAATTAATTTTCCTCTAAAATTTTTCACTAGTTGATGCTAAACAACACAAATAGCTACACAAATGGTAGGAGAAGAAATTGTTAAACTAACACTCACCGCGTCCCCGCAGCAATGGCCTCACAGCTTGCAAAGAACCTCCCAAACATAATGCAGTAGGAAATGTTTTCCTGCAGTCCTAAAAAAAATTAAAGTACACAATTAATTTCCACAATTACTAATTACATTCACAATTCCGAGCAACTTTCTTATACCTTGCTAATGCCACGCTTCTTATTACTTCTTTAAAGTTACTAAAAGTTAAGGGCGATTAATTAAAGGGAACAAACAAATAAAAACTAATGTCAATCGCTATAAAAGTAAATTAAAAGTAAATTATGTATCTTTTCTTTTTTAATATTTTTCGAATTAAAGGTAAGTGGTAAAAGAAACTAACATTAAGTACCCAAATTACCAAGGAAAACTTTCATCCTTAAGAACTGCTGTACCTTTTGAATGGTAAGATCATTCCAACTACCATTAGAAAAATTTGTGCTCCTAAATTCTTATAATTAGAAGCATGAGACATTTATGCCCTAGAGAACCACAGATTGAAACAAATGGGCTTGTAAGAATAGGAAATTATAAAGCAAATCAGTTGACCATTTTTTCACAAATTTCCTTAAGTAAAACAAGCATGGCCGACCAGGAAAATTGTATCACTAAGACAAGAAGAAACTTATTTGTGAAACAAAATGGTATGCAAGGCAAAGCAGATAACAACCTCCAAGCGATCTACTAGATTCTCGGCTACAGCATGTACAAAGGAATCATTGGGACGCAACAACCACGCAGCTCGATCACGCTGCCACCCGAAAACCAATCACCTATTATTGACTAACTAACAATTACTAAACTCGTATAAATATGAAAATCAAAACAGTACTACCTGTTTGCGTTTGAGGTGGCGGTCGAATATCTTGACTTTAGAAGGATTGCTTAGAAAGCCGTCTCCTTCTTCATGATCTGCAGTAGAAAAGGAAGCAGATGATAGGATACGACAATGGGGTTTGGCTCTTTGTCTTCTCCACAGGGAACTGGTCTGATAGAAAAGGGATCCCCTCATTTTCTGTGACTAAGAAAAGCAAGAAATCCAAAAATAAGTTATTTACAATTAAAGTCTCCTTATGTTTCCTCTCGCAAACCTTAAATTAAAGTAAAGTTTTAATCAAGCATACTCTAAATAATTTGATTAACACATTTTGTCGAACAGTACGTATGCAAATTAGTTTTAAACAACAAATTAGGTAAACGATTTGAGAACCTTGACTTGACGAGATACAAAGGCTTAAGAGACCGAGCACTGAGCTTCGAAAAATCAGTCGGTGGGCTGCGAATCACGATGGCTACCCAGGAAAAGAAATCGAAACGGTAAATCAAACGAGAGCGTTGTCAAGAACCAAAATGTTCAATCTAATTCTGCTTCGAATCTATGTCCTGAGATAGCAAAGACGGGATATGTTAATGCTTGTTCTTATAAAGATAAATGTAGTTTCAGTCGGGACATAGAAGCCTTTTCGGCTCAGGTATTTTAATACCCATTTCATGAAGTCAACAGTTTGATCAAAGTTATGTAATTGGGCTTATGATAAGTACTTATTTTGTCCATTTCAGTTAGTAGAGCATAAGGTTGGTCGTGAGATCGAGTCTTACGGTAGACAATTCATAATTGCCGGAAGTCTTTTACGAAAGTTGTTTTCAATCTAACGTTAAGACAACCTACTACCTTATCTTCCTTTATCTCATTATATATGGGAATAGGGTCGACTAATTTTTTTGTTTTTGGTTGGATGTAGAAACCAGCTGATTTGGAGGGTGATTGCCCATTTATGAAAAGCTGATACCATGTTCTTATAGTTTAGCTTGTATATTTGCCTATATATTTGATTCTTATTTTAATAGATAATTAATATAATTTATAATATTTGTATTTTAATAAAATATAATAGTCTTAATATTTTATTTATAAAATATAAAAAAATTATTTTAATAATAATATTGACATAAATATTATTAAATGAATTATTTTAATATCTTGAAAATAATATTATTATTTTTTAATACATTACATTATTTATTGTATTTGATATTCATGATAAATAATTTTTAAAAACTTTTTCAACTAGTAGAAAGCTGTTTACATAGCAACACCCAAATATTTTTTTAAAAAAATGTTTTTCATTTTAAGAAAATCATTTTTCAAAATATGTTTTTTTTAAACAAACATATCCTAAATTAACATCTATTTTATGTTAAATTGATCAGGACATTCTAGGTCTTTGTGAAAACCGTCTTGTTCTTTTTGACAACAAGACTAAGGATGAAACCAAGAGAGTGAAACAAGTTCAGGATCTTCTCTCACTCGTGAACATGGTCATGAAGCAGAACGGAGGGCAACCATATACTGATGAGTTGTTTGCAGAGCTGAAGGTGAAGTCTTTACTTTCTTTTACAGTTTGTTATGATTTTAGTGTAAAGAATTACTGTATCTGAGTTCAAGGAGCAGTTGAAAGATCAGATGAAGAGCTGCTTATGCGAATTACTGAAATGGTAACCTTAGTATCTTTCTTGTTATATTCGATAATGATGCTGTTTCCATTTTCATCTGATTTTTTAAAGATCATTCCCCCTTGGTCATATTTTAGAGATCTTTGTTAATGTATAAATTCAGTCGAAGTAAGAGTATCCCAATGGTTGCAACCCAGGTCATGAATAAAACCTGATAACACAAGGGAAAGCCAAGATGTGAGATAAATGTGTGCGTTTAAAACTTAAGTTTGGTTCATTTGCCTCATTTTATGTCCAAAACATAACCATGTAGCCTTTTGAATCTTACACCATTGTTTTCCCATATACTCCTAAAAATTATCCCTGATAGTTGTCTTAGATGGGAATCTCATTAATCTTTGTATTCCTGTTTTCCTGAAGTGTTGGATTTTGGCCTTGTCTAATCTTTAATTTGATGCGTGTAGGATTTGGTCAACATAGTTTAGACAACAAATGTAGTTTTTACTCTTATACTGCTGTCGTGTTTGTGTATTTACCATGCTTAAGGTATTTTATATTAAGATATTCATGTATTCATGTTGTGTTCATGTTATATTTTGTGTGCTGTGTTGTGTTTTAATTATCTTTTCTCTATCATGTCTAAAATCGCATCAATTACCAAGTTGGCTTGTTGCTTCATGTGCTTTCACTTATTGCTTCTCATAAGCATGGATATGTCCTTTGCACAGTCTTTGTGTCTAATGAATGATGATGTTTGTATAGGTCGAGTCAAAGATGAAGGAGACGACTGCCAGGCTTGAGCAGCAGTTAGCAGAGGAGCAGGCGGCGAGGCTGAAGGCAGAAGAGATGGAACAATTAACTCAAATGAAATTAAACGATGAAATTCTGAAGCTCCGAGAGAATCTTGAAAGAGCACAGAAAGAGACAGAGGAGCTCCGCAAGCAAGCTGCTCGCTGCACCATCCTCTGACTTAAGCCATTGTCATAACACTGAGATAATGACTCTCTTTTGCTAAGAATTTAAATCTTTTAAAGTTGGCGTAATTATTTAAATCATTCCTCTGTCAATATTCAAGTGTTAAGAGATTTCAACACTGGTTTTATTGTTACATGTTTCTTATTTAATCAATTATCGAATTGGGCTTTTCAGTTTAACAAATAATCCTAAAATATTTTGAAAATAATCTCAAAGAATTGGGGTTCTATACTCTCCATTAATATATTTCTTCAATGTTGGAAGCGTAGATGGGCTATCGATAATTTATAACATGAATTATTATTGATAAGAGGTAAAATGCGCTACAACGACGTTATTCCAATATTACAATATTACAACACTACAACACTAGTTGTGGCTAGTTTACAAACACAACCTCGTTATTCTAAGTTTTGCTAAGCTTCACCCTCTCTCTCTGATAGCTTTGCTAAACTATTTTTCATTTTGGCTTTTCTAAGTTTTTCCCCATATTATTTCTCTTTCTTTCACTCGTATTACCTTTAAAGCTAATCTACACACATATTTATAGGTGTAGTAACTGACTTATTTTCAGCTCTGTGGATGCTTCTCAATTTCTCTCTGTCGCCTTAATACTTGCTTGCCTTTATTAAATTCCATGCAATTTTGACTTTTCAAAGTCCATTCTTATTTGATAAGAATTGTTTGCTGCTAACTTATCCATTTTTATGGGACAACCTTAATATGCTTAATAATTAAGCATGTGCATACTGCCAAAAACTTTTCAACTTTGCTTATTTCTATATTTGTTAATTCTTTGTTGCCGCCACGTTTCATGTCACCATTCTACCGCCTTTGACTTTTCAAAGTCTTTTGTTGCCAAGTTGAGTTTGATTTCTAACACTCCCCCTCAAACTCGACTTTCCATTCCGAGCTTTTCTCCACTTGTCATCTTCAATTGATTCTTCATTTGTTATGAGATCACTCTTTGCAAAGAGACTGAATAGTGAAATATTATTTAATTCGTAATCGTTGTACCTTTCTGGTATTCTTCTCTCTCTTGTGGATCTCGAACTTCTATGGGAGGTGCTTCAGCATTTTCTATTATGTTGCTAAGCATCGTTGATGCTGCTTGACGACGATGGTACATTTTATTGAGGACCTTGATCATCAACTTGTTCATCTTGATTGATAAGATTGTCATATTTATCTTTATCTTCATTAAAAAAATAGTCCTTTAACTTGCTTTTCCTCTTTGCTCCATCTCCAATATTCTGCTCCATCTCCAATATTCTGCTTCATCGAACTCGACATCTCTTGAAATTATTACCTTCTTGATAAGAGGATTATATATATGTAAACTTTGATTCTTTCATCATAGCCAATGAAAATATATTTTTCTCCTCTGTCATCAAGCTTCTTTCTAGTCTGTTCAGGAACATGGGCATATGCGATGCACCCAAAAATCTTGAGGTGTCCAACTCCTGGTTTCTGACCACTCCATGTTTTGTTTGGCATCATATACTTTACACTTTTTGTTGGACATATGTTCAATAGGTAAACTACACATCAAACTGCTTCAGCCCAGAAATTTCTCGGTAGATGTTTACATTTTATCATGCTTCTTACCATGTCCAGAATTGTGTGATTCTTTCTTTCTACAACTCCATTTTGTTGTGGTGTGTATCTAACTATCAGCTGATGGATGATGTCATGCTCTTTGCAGAATTCTTCAAATAACTTTGATGTATATTTGCTTCCTTTATCTGATCTGAGTATCTTCAAATTTTGACTGCTTTGTTTTTTCCGCCATTGCTTTAAATTCTTTCAATTTTTCTAACGCTTCTGACTTTTCTTTTAAGATATAAATCCAACATTTCCTACTAAAATCATCAATAAAAGTTAGGTAATATATGTTACCGCCAAGCGATGGTATGTCAAAAAGACTGGCTATATCTGTGTGTACTATCTCCAGCGGTCTTCGGGCACGCCAGGATCTACCAACTTCAAAGATTTGTCTATGTTGCTTTCCTTTAACGCAAGCCTCACATAATTGATTTGGAGGGTTGATCTCTGGTAGTCCTTTCACCATACTTGTTTTTGATAACAACTTCAATCCAGAAAATCCAAGATGTCCATATCTTAGATGTCATAGCCATGAATCATCTTTGATCGCGGTCTTCATGCACTTGACTTCTCCCGACTCGATATCAATTTTAAAGAGACAATTTAGAGTCATATCAACTTGGGCTATCAATTCTCCTTCTTTATTTTTGATGGCAAGCGAGCAATTCTTCATCTTCACTTCATATCCTTTTTTCAGAAGTTGACTAAGACTAATAATATTGCTTTTTAAAGCAGATACATAATAAACATCTGAAATATATTTCTTTTCTCCATTTTTCTGAGTAATTATGACTTCACCTTTTCCTTTTAGTTCCGCGTGCGAGTCATCTCCGAACGTTACTCGCCCATGGACTGTTTCATCTAATTTCACAAACAGTTCCTTTTGACCACACATATGGTTGTCGGCACAATTACCAAGATACCAAATATTTTTCTTGAATTCTTCATTTCTTTTATAAGTGATGAATATATGAGATTTTTCAATTTTTTCTTCTTCAGATGTTGCTACGTTATTTCTTTCTTCTTGTTTAGGAGCAGATCTACACTCATAACTATAATGACCATACTTATTGCAATTATAACATTGTACCTGTGATTTATTTCCTTGTTGATATATGCCTCTACCTCGGTATCTGAATCCTCGTCCACGACCTGATATTGGATTGTTTTCACTTATTTGATCGGTGTCATATGATTAACCACCTTGATTTCCTCGACCTCGTGTGTAGCTGCTGCTAGCTTCTCCTTTATTCACATTCATCTTGCTTTGTAGAGTTTCCTCCAAAATTTCATAATCTTCATTTTGTTTCATTTTCTGCTCACGGGCTTGAAGTGAACCCACAAGCTCATCGATCGAAATTTGGGATAAATCTTTTGATTCTTCGATTGCCACAACCACATAATCGAATTTTCTTGTCAATGACCGCAAAATTTTTCCATCACTCTAACATCGTTGAGTGATTCACCATTTTTTTCATTTCATTCACAACCGCTTTCACACAGCTAATATAATCATCGATGTTTTCTGTATTTTTCATTTTTAATATCTCAAACTCAGCTCTAAGAGTTTGTAAACGTACATTCTTTGTTTTTTCGGCACCTTGTAGGGATTTTTGCAAAATCTCTCATGCTTGTTTTGCGGTATTCGCATCAGAAATTTTTTTAAAGGTAGATTCGTCTACTCCTTGAAAATAAAGAACAATGCTATTTTATCTTTTTTCTGGGATTCCTTGAATACATTATTTTCTTCATTGGCTAGGGCTGCTTCTGCTGCTGCATTTTCAAGCTCGGTGTAACCATCCTCGATGATATCCCAATAATCTTGGGAGCCTAGTAACACCTTCATTTGAATGCTCCAATTGCCATAATTCGTCTTTATCAATCTCGGGATTTGAGGTTGAATCATGTTGGTCATCTTCTCCACCACGTTAAACTCGAACCAAGCTCTGAGGCCACTTGTTGAAAGCGTAGATGGACACTCAGTAATTTATAACTCGAACTATTATTAATACGAGGAAAAAATCGTTACAACGACGTTACCCCAATATTACAACACTACAACACTAATTGCGGCTAGTTTACAAACACAACCTCGTTATTCTAAGTTTTGCTAAGCTTCACTCTCTCTCTGATAGCTTTGCTAAACTATTTTTCATTTTGGCTTTTCTAAGTTTTTCCCCATATTTCTCTTTCTTTCACTCGTATTACCTTTAAAGCTAATCTACACACATATTTATAGGTGTAGTAACCGACTTCTTTTCAGCTCTGTGGATGCTTCTCAATTTCTCTCTACCGCCTTAATACTTGCTTGCCTTGATTAAATTCCATGCAATTTTGACTTTTCAAAGTCCATTCTTATTTGATAAGAATTGCTTGCTGCTAATTTATCCCTTTTTATGGGACCACCTTAATATGCTTAATAATTAAGCATGTGCATACTGCCAAAACTTTTCAACTTTGCTTATTTCTATATTTGTTAATTCTTTGTTGCTGCCACGTTTCATGTCACCATTCTACCGGCTTTGACTTTTCAAAGTCTTTTGTTGCCAAGTTGAGTTTGATTTCTAACATTCAGTCTAGTGTATGAAGGTCTTATGGTTGGTTCTCCCAAGTTGCATAGTCTTTTTAACTTGTTTTAATGTTGGATATAGCCATATGTAAATGGATGTATAGCACTACTGAAACATCGAACAAAATTAAAAGAGTATGTTTATTGGCCTGGGTTTGGTTCGCCAACCGTGAGTGGTTCACTTATTTTAGTCTGTACAATGAGTCACGATCGATGAAAAAAATCCGTTGATTAATGATTTTGTGGAAAGGAGAAATGTTATGTGAAAAAAGATAATAGAAAGTGGTTCACTTCATTCATGTCTCAAGGATATTTATAATAATTTTTAATGTGTGTCAAATATAGAATTATAATGATTATTTGTAAGTAGGTTGATCAAACTTAATTAGACTTTAAATTTTATCCTAGTAAGCCAGGTGAACCCAATATGAGTTCTGTTTAGATCTTGTCTAGTAGTTGACAAGAAACTTGTATAATGTAGATGTTAACCAATCAAAGGTTTTGATATATAAATAAGTAAATTTAGCAAAGATTAGAAAATCTCAGAAATTAACTTAAAAATCTAACAAAGTGTTTATCATTGTTAGAACAAAAGTAAATAAGATGAAGAAATTAATTGTTATTATCATATGAAAACAGCACTCCACTACTCCTGAACCAAGGCACTGAGAATTACTTGTTTAAAGCTAAAAGCAGTCCCTTTTGACTCTAATATCACACAGTATCCATTCATATTCATATTCTTTTCAAAGAAACTTATCATCGAATTGGAATCAAAACTTTACATCACGATGAGAAAGCAAGTATCCACGTGGCAGCTTTGGAGAGAATATCCAAGTGTCGAATGATTAAGACCAATCTTATGCGAGCTTTGATTTAAAAATCTATTTGATTTGACAAGACCTTTGCTTTAAAAAATGAATCACTTCCGTAATGGTGGGGTGGGCATTGCTGTAATTTGATATCTTTTGTTAAGAAAAAGCACCCAATGCTTTTATGACCTTACAATGACTAAGAATTTGTTGAGGAAAAAAATCATCTGAAATTATAATAATTTAACATAAAATTAATATATATTACCAGTTCACGCAGGTATAATATTTTTTGAGATTATAAATATAATTATTAGTTGAATAAATTTAAAAAACATAATTAAATTTTCTAAATATGTGCAATCTAGTAGGAGTATAAATAAAGAGATTATGATATGAAGAGAAAAGGCGTGGAATCTATCATGAGCTGTTCATTGGATGGTAAGTGAGTTGGGGTTGGCACATGAAATGACATCCTACAGCTGAGAAAAGCAGCCGCTGGTTTAAACACCTTAAAATTTGACACGCACCCAGGCATTGCTCGATTAGGTTATGCTATTATAGTTTATAATTATAATTAATTACTAATAACAAGATTTTATTCATAATTAGAATAAACATGCATAATATTGTTACATAAGAAAATTTAAATCAAAATAAAACTTATATGATTTATATAAAATGAAAATTGAAAAAGCTGTACCCAAAAAATTAAATGCAAATTGAATAAAAGCTATAAAATCTAGAAAGTTAAATTGTAGGGTAGAATAATTTATCAATAGAGGATAATACTTTCTTTTATTATGAAATAAAAAGATTAAACACATACTTTAACTTAATAATATATTTTAAAACTTTTAAAATTCTATAAAGAGATGAATTTGTGAAATTTTAGGGGATAAGAATATATTTTTAATAAAAATATATAAATAAAATAATTTTAAAATTACAAGTACGATTGCCCCTTCAATCCATGGGTGTTTGTTCTAATTTACTTAATTTTTATTATCACACCTTTAGTATTTCTTATGCTTGAACTTGAGAGACTTAAAAAAAATAATTCATTATTATTATGGTCGCTAAGTTAAGTTGGTGTAATTGTTACAACTTAAAATAAATAAATTGGAACAAACACCCATGGAATCTATAAAATGACAAGAAAACCGTGGGGGGAGCGTGAAGGGCAAGATATGCGGAGAAAGTGATGGGGGAAAAAGCCATGGAATCTATGATTAGACGACTCATTGGCTGGTTAGGGACTTGTTGCGCAATGCTCATTAATTGGCGAAACCTATTTTCTCAACTTTTCCTACCACAACTACAGCAAATCAAGATTTTAGACGCACCCTTTAGCTAATAAAAGAAGCTAATATGATTTATGGTAATGGAACTTCAAGGTTTTCAAAGAGGAAGCATTTGGTGGCGGTTGGTTGGCGTGAATTTTTTGGAATTAGGGGAAATTGGAATCTAATTTTATTACTTCTCATGTTTGGTTCAAGTTTTTCAAGGGAATTGGAATCCCTCATGGCTTCAACTTTCCATCAAATGAGTGAAAGTAAATTCCATCCAAGAATGGATTGAATTCGATTCCCTTGTTGGAGAGAATTGAAATTTGACCATACTACCTTAATCAATCTTTTGGTAACTTATTCATATATTGAATAAATATATTTTTTTATTATTTCGGGTCGAGTTTCTAATTCATATATTCGGGTCGGGTCGGTGAAACTTTATTTTGGTCGGGTCGGTCGGTTTATTTAAGTGTGATATTCGGGTCGGGTCGAGTTCGGGTTTAACCCGACCCAAAAATATATAATTTTACCTTTATATTTAGGAATAATTACAATAATACCCCTCTATATATAATTTTTTTCAATTAAGACACTGTTTTTATTGAATAAATAATTTTTTTTATTATTTCGGGTCGGGTCGGGTCAGATTTCTAATTCATATTCGGTTCGGGTCAGGTGAAAATTTATTTTGTCGGGTCGAGTCGAGTTTTTTAAGTGTGATATTCGGGTCGGATTCGGGTTTAGAGTGAAAAAACCAGACCCGACCCGAAAAAATATATAATTTTACCTTATATATTTATAAATAATTACAATAATACCCCTCTATATATAATTTTTTTCAATTAAGTCAATGTTTTTATTGAATAAAAATGATTTTTATAATTTATTAAAATGAATAATCAATCAATAAAATGAAAATTTAATATTTTTTTAATTTTTTATAATATATTACTACATGTAAGTTGTAAAACAAACTACAATAAAGCAAAAAAACAAGAAGGGTAATTCTGTCATTTTATATTACTGAAATCAAATTCATCTGACATGTTTGCGAATCAAATAGAATATGGAATTGGATTATAATTCTTGACAGATTCCAATTTCTTCACAGATTTCAATTCCCTCGTAAACATTCCAACAAACCAAACATCACCTAAGTCGATTCCTAAGTCCAATTAAAAAAAATCATGTTATAACTTTAGTTATTTAAAACGAAAATTTAGATGTATAGTGGGAGAGGGATTGAGGAAGAAGGTAAGTGGTGGAGAGAGAGAGAGTATATAGGAATTAAGAAGTGTGAAAAAGAAGGGTGTCGACCAAAATCGATATTTAAAGTGGGAAAGTGATTGAGGAGAATCGAAGGGGACGAATATAAGTGTTGAAGCTCTAAACCAGAGAGAAGCAACTGTTAGACAAAGCACCAAGTCCAAAGCAAGCATTGCAACAACCTCGAAGCTAGTTCAAACTAGTGGGAGGTTGTGTGCACAGGATCCTCATATCCGAACAAGTTGAAGAAGAAGAAGAAGAAGAAGATCAAGATCGAAAAGATGGGTCGAGGAAGAGTTCAGATGAGGCGCATTGAGAACCCGGTGCACCGGCAGGTTACCTTCTGCAAGCGGCGAGCTGGCCTCCTTAAGAAGGCTAAGGAGCTCTCCGTGCTCTGCGATGCTGAAATTGGTGTTGTCATTTTCTCCGCTCATGGAAAGCTCTATGAACTAGCCACCAAAGGGTCTCTTCTCTCCCCCCTTTACAGTTTCATATGTATGTATAAACTTAGTATGTTAATTCAAAATGAAAGAATACATGCATGCATGGACATGCATAACCCTTATATGTAGAAAAACAAACTAATAGTATTTGTTTTTTGGAAATGAAGGACCATGCAAGAGCTGATTGAGAGGCATAGCAAGTACACCGGTGGACCTCAGCTGCCTGATAAACCCATGGTGGAACCTATGGTATGTCATATACGTTTCGTATACAAACATATTTCTTTACAAAGTTTACGTAGAAACTAATAAATAAGCCGATGATATCATCAAAGATGAACATGTCCAGTTTTGAACACCTCTTTTCCATTGATACGAGATACTTTGCTTAGTTCATGTAGATTTGAGATTAGATAGTGATTATTCTTCATTTCAATCCATTAATACTATTTATTAATTAAAAATATTCTTCAATAATAATAAGAGTTATCGAGATAAATCGAATTTAATCTAAAAAAAATAGTATCAGTGTGATGTTATCAGCAAAGTGGGTGTTAAATCAGATTCTTCTGGTTCAACAGACCAATAGGAAATATTGTTAGAATTATGGGTAAGTTAGCATGCTCAAATAGTATGAATAGATCATTGAAATCTCTTCTTCCATTTATTTATCTTAAAATTTTAGGATGCAAAAAAGGAGATTTCCATGCTCAAGCAGGAGATCGAAATTCTTCAGAAAGGTCTCAGGTAGACTTCCTTTTATTTTTTTAAAGACATCAATCTTTTTATTATTATTATATGTATACGCAGTTTAACATAAAGTGTGAAATATAAATCCTCAAAACATATTAATATGTGTTTTCACGGGTAGAAATAGTTTAAATAATAATTAAAATATCTTTACTGAGAATGGTAAAAAAATCAGTTATATTACCAAGTAAATTGATTTTTTACAGGTATATGGTTGGAGGGGGTTGTGAATATATGTCACTGGATGAATTGCTTGTACTTGAAAAGCATTTAGAGATTTGGATCAACCAAATTCGATCAACCAAGGTAAAGGCCATTTTATTATTATTTAATTCAATACCATTTTCGTTTGCATTTTTTTTAAAATTTGTTACATGAAATGCAGATGGACATTATGATTCAAGAAATTCAAATGTTAAGGGACAAGGTTAGTATGATTGTGCATATTAATACATTCTGGTTTTTGTAAGTACTTACATACAAACAAAATTTAGAAAACAGTTATTGGTTTTTGGGTAAAATATAAGAAAAAACAAATTAAGATAACATTTATTTATTTTATAATACTTGATTAAATCGCAATGTTACGAAGGTTCTTTAAACAGATATTGACTTCTCCTTACCAATAATATTTTTTATAAAAAACTCCAAACACATAACCTCATCTAATTATTGATAAATTTTAACTTTAATATTAAACTATAAAAAATTACAAACGAATCAGTAATATTTATTAAGTTTTAATATTATGATCACTCGTTTTATCCTTCATCCTTTGATATAATAGAGAAATTATTTCATGATCCCGGCTCACCACGTCATCTGTGGTCCTAATGAATGAGAGTCACAAATTTTAAAATAACTTATGAATAACTACCAACTTCTTATTTACATGTAGGAAAGAGGTGAATGTCCACCTTGGAAAAAATTGATATGGAGAAATATTATTGGTCGAGATCACGGATGACGTGATGAGCTGAGACCATCTAATAATTTATCGATATAATGACAATGTAGCACAGGAATATTTAAAGCTATTTAAGCATGCCATGTCATGTGGACTTTATAATTTTAAACTAATTTGTAAAATTTACATTTAAACTATCATTTTAATTTACTTTAGATGTTTAAAACTTTTTTTATCAACGCTTATTTAGTTATCATTTAAAATACTTAAAATTTAATTTCATTATCATTTAAATTCATCATATCAACGGTTATTGAAAAATTAATCAACTAATAATTATTTGACATGTGACATTAATATATGATTAATATTAAATTTTTAATGACAAACACAAAATTTTAAAATGTATAAAAAATTTAAATTTTATAATTTCTAAAAAAATTAAAATCCTTAAATCCACATATTTTTAAATCTCTAAAACTCCTTAAACTGATCAAAAAATTAAAAAAGATTCAAGCGACTATGTATGTAACTCCCTAAACTTAATTTGTGACGCAATGACTTTGGTGGGCCACATTGGACCACTAAAGCAATCACTACTTAACTTTTTCCCTATTTATACTATGAAAATCATTTTAAAGCAAACCATAGAAACTTATAGTGACTTTAAAACGTGTTTACAAATTGAAGCTCCGTTCATAAGTATTTTCAAAATAAATCTTAAAATAGAAATAGGGTAATAAAATAAATGTATGTAGAAGTCCTATAGATATACATGTTCTCTATAGTACTCAAATATTGTACCCTGAAAACGAGTGTTAAATATTTTTGAAGTAACGGTACTTCGTCAACTACTTGGTCTATCAATCTACGAATAGAAACATTCGAGTAATGAACTTCACAAGCACAATAATATATTACTAATACACATAATAGAATTCATAAACGTAAACATGTTAGTAATACAAACAATGGGTAATGAATATAAGCATCAAATACTGACCGTAAAAATTGAAGGGGTATTGGTTCATACTTAATTTGTAAGGTCTAAGGGGTATTGTAGGTTCATTTAGCATCAAATAAATCTATGTTTAACACCTAATTCATCGTTTTAACAACAAAACACGTATATCACTCAAATAAACTCAATTACCAACATATCACATACAATTAGGGATGGACATGAGACCCGAACCCAACAGTTTCCGACCAGACCCGACCCGATAAGGTTCGGTCGGGTCGGGTCGGGTTTTTTAAGGGTAATGTTCGTGTCGGGTCAGATTCGGGTTTAGGGTGAAAAATACTCGACCCGATCATACCAAAAAAATATAATTTTACCTGATATATTTAGGAACAATTACAATAATACCCCTTTATATATTATTTTTTTCAATTAAATCAATGTTTTCATTGAATAAAATAATATTTTTATTATTATTTCGGGTTGTGTCAGATCGGGTTCGAATTTTATCTTAAAAAGTCAGGTATAATGGAGGGTATATATTTTTCGGGTCGAGTCAGGTCGGGTGAAGGATGTAAAATTTTCGTTTGCATTTTTTTTAAAATTTGTTACATGAAATGCAGATGGACATTATGATTCAAGAAATTCAAATGTTAAGGGACAAGGTTAGTATGATTGTGCATATTAATACATTCTGGTTTTTGTAAGTACTTACATACAAACAAAATTTAGAAAACAGTTATTGGTTTTTGGGTAAAATATAAGAAAAAACAAATTAAGATAACATTTATTTATTTTATAATACTTGATTAAATCGCAATGTTACGAAGGTTCTTTAAACAGATATTGACTTCTCCTTACCAATAATATTTTTATATATAAAAAACTCCAAACACATAACCTCATCTAATTATTGATAAATTTTAACTTTAATATTAAACTATAAAAAATTACAAACGAATCAGTAATATTTATTAAGTTTTAATATTATGATCACTCGTTTTATCCTTCATCCTTTGATATAATAGAGAAATTATTTCATGATCCCGGCTCACCACGTCATCTGTGGTCCTAATGAATGAGAGTCACAAATTTTAAAATAACTTATGAATAACTACCAACTTCTTATTTACATGTAGGAAAGAGGTGAATGTCCACCTTGGAAAAAATTGATATGGAGAAATATTATTGGTCGAGATCACGGATGACGTGATGAGCTGAGACCATCTAATAATTTATCGATATAATGACAATGTAGCACAGGAATATTTAAAGCTATTTAAGCATGCCATGTCATGTGGACTTTATAATTTTAAACTAATTTGTAAAATTTACATTTAAACTATCATTTTAATTTACTTTAGATGTTTAAAACTTTTTTTATCAACGCTTATTTAGTTATCATTTAAAATACTTAAAATTTAATTTCATTATCATTTAAATTCATCATATCAACGGTTATTGAAAAATTAATCAACTAATAATTATTTGACATGTGACATTAATATATGATTAATATTAAATTTTTAATGACAAACACAAAATTTTAAAATGTATAAAAATTTAAATTTTATAATTTCTAAAAAAATTAAAATCCTTAAATCCACATATTTTTAAATCTCTAAAACTCCTTAAACTGATCAAAAAATTAAAAAGATTCAAGCGACTATGTATGTAACTCCCTAAACTTAATTTGTGACGCAATGACTTTGGTGGGCCACATTGGACCACTAAAGCAATCACTACTTAACTTTTTCCCTATTTATACTATGAAAATCATTTTAAAGCAAACCATAGAAACTTATAGTGACTTTAAAACGTGTTTACAAATTGAAGCTCCGTTCATAAGTATTTTCAAAATAAATCTTAAAATAGAAATAGGGTAATAAAATAAATGTATGTAGAAGTCCTATAGATATACATGTTCTCTATAGTACTCAAATATTGTACCCTGAAAACGAGTGTTAAATATTTTTGAAGTAACGGTACTTCGTCAACTACTTGGTCTATCAATCTACGAATAGAAACATTCGAGTAATGAACTTCACAAGCACAAAAATATATTACTAATACACATAATAGAATTCATAAACGTAAACATGTTAGTAATACAAACAATGGGTAATGAATATAAGCATCAAATACTGACCGTAAAAATTGAAGGGGTATTGGTTCATACTTAATTTGTAAGGTCTAAGGGGTATTGTAGGTTCATTTAGCATCAAATAAATCTATGTTTAACACCTAATTCATCGTTTTAACAACAAAACACGTATATCACTCAAATAAACTCAATTACCAACATATCACATACAATTAGGGATGGACATGAGACCCGAACCCAACAGTTTCCGACCAGACCCGACCCGATAAGGTTCGGTCGGGTCGGGTCGGGTTTTTTAAGGGTAATGTTCGTGTCGGGTCAGATTCGGGTTTAGGGTGAAAAATACTCGACCCGATCATACCAAAAAAATATAATTTTACCTGATATATTTAGGAACAATTACAATAATACCCCTTTATATATTATTTTTTTCAATTAAATCAATGTTTTCATTGAATAAAATAATATTTTTATTATTATTTCGGATTGTGTCAGATCGGGTTCGAATTTTATCTTAAAAAGTCAGGTATAATGGAGGGTATATATTTTTCGGGTCGAGTCAGGTCGGGTGAATGATGTAAAATTTTCGAGTCGGATCGTGTTGGCCGGAACCCGACCCATCCCATCCTTACACACAATATCATATTTATGAGTGTTATAATTTATCATAAGATTAGAAATACACTACCTTAAATCAAAATACCAATTAAGGTCTTTAGCTCAACTTCCTACAACTTTTTGATTGCCTCTAACACATAGGGCCCTCTTCTATCTTTTAACTGATCAAAACATAAACAAGGGAAGTTCTAATCATTCATACTAATAAAATAAAACAATAAGGACAAATTTAAAAACATGAATTTGCTTTAAACATTAGATTCTTTCGACAAAAGTGAAGATGGAAGTTTTAACTTTGGGGAAGAATAAGAAATTAGTGAAAGAAAGAAGAAAACAATGTGATGAAGGGTGGGTGAAAAGCTATCAGCTTCTCTCCCTTAAACCCACGATAACATCACAAAATCAAGGGAAAAATCACCTTGGTTTTTCTAGAATGAGTTATTTACCTAATTGATCCCTTAATATTTAATATTCCTACAATTTTCCTATTTTTCTAGGCCTAAATGGGCTCAATTATCTCCTAAAGAGACCCAACTTGTCCCAAAGGTCCAAATATGCTCATAAACCGACCCAAAGTTATCCCGAACCAACTCTCATATGTTGACTCAGAAATTCCGGACATTATAGTGTAGTCTCACCGATGATGAGACGATAGTTGAGTGAAAAAAACGATCTCGTGTGACAGGTTTAGTAACTAAATGTTGAGATTATTCTGTTTTGAGTGACCATGTCTGACGATAAGGGACGACCAATTGAGCTGAGTTCGAAAGAATGAATGATTGGCTGTGGTTGATTCAGTGGTAGCATAAGAGATTTAGATTTTTTTTAGCAATTTAGAGATTTTAAGTTTTTTAATTAATGATTTTGGTTTTTTAATAAAATTAAAATAAATTTAAAAACACGTTGAGTGTCAAATATTAATTTGATAACATATTTTTAACAACAGTTAACGATCAAATACCTTAAATAATAATAGAATAAACATTAAGCACGTTGAAAAATAAAATAAAATTTAATACCTAAAATAAATTAGATATATAATTTTGACACTTATTTTTTTAATTGAGTTATATATATAATTTAATGATTAAAACAGTGTTTCGTGTGACCTCTATTATAGCCATCTAAATCTTGATAATCACTTAAAAGAAAAGCCAAAACATATATTATATATCGAAAGCAATTATTTATATATAGACTTATCTAATGGTTGGATAAGTTTAAAAAAATAGAAATACTTTCAAAAATATAATAACAAAAATAAATGTGATCATCAATTAAATGTTTTATTAGTTGTGCTTATATACATACAGATTTAGTTGATTATTATATTTGTGTAATGACTGTTTTTCTCTCTTTTTTGTTGGATAAAGGAAGGGATAATGAAAGCTGCAAATAAAAGTCTTATTGAAACGGTAATAAGAAAAGCAATGGCAATGGTTAGCTTTTAAGAGTATTTTAAGGAATATTTGCATATAAATTTATATTTTGTTAGTTATATAATGTTATTATTTGAACATTATTTATAACGATATCATTAGCTTTACTAATAATATATGAAATTTAAATTTTATATATTATTAATGCATCAAATATAAACGAATGACTGACAGAAGGTTTCTTATTTGTTTACAGATTGAGGAGAACATCAGCAACACTGACTTTACTACAATGACCACTGATATGCTGCTGCACCCACTAACCATAGCAAATAACATATTTTAAGTTTAGAGTGTTTATGTATAATTTCATATATAAATTAATAAGAGTTAGTATAAAACTGAATTATCAAGTGTTTTTGTTCCTGTTTTTACACACTTCGTGTGATGAAATAAATTTTGATACCTATTGGGTTGCTTTTAGTGACTGAATTAATAAAGCTTCTCACTTGTTAAAGGCATTTGTTACCTTTTTATATATAATTAAGGATGCAGTTTGCATAGATTGATGGAGATAATTTGGTGATACTTGACCCAGTTTGGAACCATAATTCCATATCATGGAATCTCTGTTTTACATGTGATCATTAAAATGTGCATATATTACGTGATATGCATGCATTATAATTGTAAAATTTCTGGTTGAAAGAGTGCACCCGATTTTCCAGTAGAGTACGAAACCACATGTTGCACAAAATGGGTAGTCAGGATTCCATCTTATCTCAAATGCAGCAATGATGAAACCATCAAAGAGAGATTAGCTTCAACTCTTGGATCTCAATAAGGTCGAAACTTCCGGGCGGCTCTCATCTGTTGAATCCGCTTCTTATCCTGCTCGAATTTGCTTTGGAGTGTCAAAAGTTCTGCAAGGAGAAAACAAGGTTATGTAAATCCGTTGTGTCAGCATTCATGGGTAAAAAGGAAACCCCTACAAGCAGCCAAACATGCACATACAACATTCTTCCATCATAGACATTGCCTGAAAGCAGAACATCGAAGCAAAGGTCATTTTGAGGGATCTTGATCCCCTTCATTACTATTCAAATATAAATAATGATGATGATCAGTGTATTCGAAAATAAATAATGAAATAATCTCAACTCCTTTGAGCATACAGTGCCATTCTATATACTCCTGTCAATTATGTCGTTCGAATTTAGGCGAGTGTGGGAAGGTATGCTTAAGTTTTTCCATGATTTTGAAGGTCTTCTGAGGGTCATATCCCATGTATAGAAGTCTGCCGGATACAAGTGTCAAGCAAAATGAATTCTGGACAAGCATAGCCTGCCGGTAGCCTAGCACACATAATTTTGTCCGACTATACTACATACAATTTATGTGAATTTATTAAAGCAGAAAAGAGAAGTGTAAAATTATGTGCAATGAGAAGCAGCTAATCCTAACATCTACACCCTACAACTTAACTGAAACCCACCAGAAAATGTCAATAATAAACTCAATAGTGACATCTTGGTATAAAAAATGGGGGAGAAAACAAATTTAGTGTCATTCATACCATTCCTCTGGGCTTCTCTTTTTTGAAAGCGGTAGAAATCAGAGACCTCTTTGCTCTTCTTCTTAGCTAATTTCTCCTCCACAGAAGCCTGGGAAACAGAGCCTACCGTAGTTCCACTTTCGGAGTCTGTGGTTTTTTTCCTTCCTTTATGATGTTCAACAAGTATCCATCCCCCTTCCGTAAGACGAGCCTCCTTTTCTTTCTTTTCCTATATCACCATAATGACCAAAATAGTAAATAACAAGAAAAACATTTCTAACAATGCGTCAAGGGTGCAAGGTGAGGTATAGGCATTGAAATCCTTATATTCCATGTGCCACAAAGTGCATATTTGTGGAAAAGGATGCTCATCTACCTGTGTGTGAGTGCATGCGGAATAAGCTAAAAATATATAATAATGTAAATCCTACGAAGCATGCAAAATTTCATTCTTTTGTTGACCAATATGCATGATTGTCTAACAGTCTCGAATTTGTCATTGAATATTCAAATGTTGAGAAGTAGAGAGTTTGATGTTTTCTCCCTATACAACCTTCTTTTCTCTTTTTATCTACTGTCTTATAAAAAAGGCACCTAGGCATACCAAGTGCATCCTCTGATCAAATGCACCTTGCCTAAAAGGGCTTGAAGTAAGTTTTTATCATGAAATGCTAAGGTAAACTCTTTGAAAAAACTGGTATTGCTACGACTCAACATGGGGTATCAAGAAGAAAAATACCTGTTCAAGTTTTTCCTCGTATGCAATTATAAACTCGTCAATCCTTTGTTGCAATACCTTCAAGCCAGGTCTACTTTGGTGGTAGCCTGTAAGCCATTCTGCAGTTTAAGAAAACTTGCCTATCAAATGTCTATAAACCAATATACTTGTCTATCAACTGATAATGGAAAATACATTATCAAACTAGAATCCAAATAAGAAAAGGCATGCTAACATCAATTAAAAAAAAATCTGGCTTTAGCTATAAGTTTGACAATTCCAATATTGCCTACTATGGCGCATATCCTAAACGACGATAGAAATAAGACTTAAACTAATAAGTTCCAGAGAAAAATTCCGAATATTAACAATACTGCTTTGGAAGTTTATCTCTACCGCAAAACCAAACGCTAAAAATCTTTAAAGAGAAGTCACCAGTTTCATACTTTTCATTCCTTTTGAGCAATCGTCGTCTCCAGAAGGTATTTCATAAACTTCATCCTCTTGAGCTGCTTTACTCTTTTCCACCAACTGACCATTTGATTTCTTTTCTCTATCTTTCCTAAATTTGTCTACAAGGAAAAAAATATTATGTAAACATCAAAGAGCAATTGCAATATTAGAGTTGATTAAATTCTAAATAAACCAAAAGAAAAGCCCATGAATTTACAACTTTTAGTCTTACTTTCATAATGGAGTCTGCAAATGCAATGTTAGAGTTGATGAAATTCTAAGTAAACCAAACAAATCCTATCAATTATTTAGAACTTGCAGCTTTTAATCTTTAGAAAATTTTATTTTTTTAAAAAAATAAGATTTTTAAAAAAAAGTCTCACCTTGAGCATGAACTTCGTTCCCATCAACAAGCTTATCAACGGTTCCAACGCTAGCGTTTTTCTCTTTACTTTTCTTTTCGTCTTACTTAATTTATCCTTTTTCTTCCCTTGTTTGGTTGCAACTAAATTCTCCACTGAAACCAACGAAACAAAAGAAGTAAACCCATCGCAGAAAAGCTAAATACATATATACAAAGATCATTCAAAGGCAAATCAGCAGAAAATTTTCCATTGACATTTACTCATATGAAAATCTTCGACGATACCAACAGAATTAGCCTCCCCTTTACTTGCTTTCTTCTTCATCGCACTTGTTAAAAGTTTCAACTTAGACTTCCAAGCTTAAAACAGCTGCTGCAATGGTGAATGAGAAGGTCCAAAGCGCAGAGAAAAGAGGGGATAGTTCTCCTTAGGGCAATTATACTAGTACAAACTATTGGGCTTTTGGGGTTCAGAGAATTTAAAACATTAAACCCAAAGCCCGAGATAGTTCAAGCCTAACTCTTGAAGCCAGTCCAAATTATTACAAAAAACTGTAAATAAAACAAGGAATTCAAGTTTTCAATCTAGTTTATGTTGTTTTTTCTCGTTTCCTGGATCTGGGTAATGCCAAAGATACTTTCATAGGCATTTTATTTACATTTTTGTAATAATTTCTAACACTTGTTTTGTAATAGTTTCCAAAATATTAGAAAAATCTCTAACACTTGTTTTGTTTTGGTTGGTTCAATCTCGTTTCTTTTTGGTCAGCATTATTTAGATTGTGCTCCAATTTTGCAAAGAAAATTCGTTGCATCAAACGTTTTAGAGGGACAGCCACAATTGGAACAAGAAATGGTCATGTTCAGCCACAATTGCATTCACTAGAACAGAAATTAATTACCAGCTTGAATTACAATCACCAACAAGTAGTAACTCATGACATGAATTCAGTAAGTGAAGAAAACATGAGGTTTTAGAGTGAGGACAATTGCTGTATGTTTATAGGATAAGTATAAGCCTGTGATCCATAGGCAGACTGTGCAAATAAGATGTTGGCCAGTTCGGTGGGATGGAAGGCATCCCAAAACAGGTATTTCCTTCGATCAGTACAAGGTTGTTGTAGGGGAAGACATGTTATCTGCCCGTTGTTTCTTCCCACTCCGCAGCATCCTTTGTCTATTACTTCAAACCCTGTACACTTAGAGCGTCAACAAAATTTTCTGTAAAACCAATTACGTCAATCAAACACCGGAAAATATAGTATATTACCATTAGCAGAGCCATTTTGATAAAGATCCATGCTGCTTTTGTAGGAATCAAGGTAAACAAACTTCGCTCCTGGTAGTTGGCCTCCATTGAAACGATCGACCACCTTCCTTAGCTCGGTGTTGAAAAGAGTGATTGCCTTGTTTATGTCTTCGTTGCAGCGGCTGCTATTACTGTGGTATCGAGCTAGTTGATACGGTATGCATCCGATTGGTCCGACTGCTGTTACGATCACCTTTCGAGCTCCTAAGCTATGCAATTGCTGAAATATATCGATGTCAAACACGCGAGAAATCATGTCAGCGTTGGAGACAGACCGAGATGAAATGTTTGTTTCGGGACATGGAAAACTTACTGTTAGCTGGCGTGTGTAGTCTTGTATGAGTGCAGCCGCGTAAGCGTTGGTGGTGAAATCGGAGCTGGTTGTGTAGAAGCTTGGCATGAAATAGTTGTTAAGATAATCATTGCTTCCCAGACCACAATAGAATATGCACTTGCTTAGATAGCTTCCCAAAGCATTGGTGTCTCCTCTAAAGAACCTCCTCATTTGCACCACCGTATTAGCAAAGTTCGCGACCTGTCCGTTCATTGACGTGTGGGCTCCCTACACACAAACATGTTGCAATCTTTTTTCTCATAGTCTGAGGTGATTTTAAATTACGGTCGTGTGAGCATTTTCATATCGTTGAACAATAGTTTATATATATATATATATATGTACCAGATTGTCGCCTGTTTCTTCACGAATACCAGAAGCGCCGGAGGCATAATTGGTTCCGCGCAACAATTCGGGGCCACGAGCCCTTGAATAGGGAAGAATGTAGCGTGTAAACCCCATAAGTTGAGCTGCAATTCCAGTGTTTCAATAGGAAACCGATTGCAACGAAAAAATTGATCAAAACAGGACTGATCAACTGATCAAGGAGCAGTAACTAACCTAGAGCATCAACAAAAGTTCGACCATTAGTGAAACGACCGGTGGTACCCCCGAGGAAATCGATGCCGTAGGGCCTATAATTAGCCCTGGCAAGTGTGACCATACCATTGTTATTGCCATTGTCCACTAAGGAGTCACCGAAGATGTAAAAGCATGGTACTTGAGACTGCTGCGGCTGAGGCAGCCGTTGCGACTGGCCTCTACCGTTAAAACAGGCCACGATCAAACAAACCAACAAGGCTAGCTCACCAACGGTCTTCATTTTTGAATTACGGCTAAACTCATCGATCACAATGCAGATGAATGGGCCATTTATATAGGGATGAAAAGGTTTGATAATCTATTATGGGGTTCATGTGCATATCCATGCATGTTGGGTTTGAGTTTTTGCGGTGGAGAGAGTGAGGCGTAAAACTTTTAGTTGTGGTGGTCACTTATCACATAAAGAATTACTTTACATTGAAGCAGCAGCGGCTGTGGCGGATGTATCTCGTGATCAACTTGTTGGCCAGCCACAACCTTGCTAGCTTAGCCTACAATACGATCTCTCCCTAAAGCATCCCATCCATGTCTATCCAAGTAATCACAAAATTTTGATAAGAAAAATAATTGTGAAATTCACAAAATGAAATAAACATCATAAGGAGGGAATGTGCATCCAAAATTAGTAATAATGAAGGTTAGCATTCAAGATGAGACAGACAGTGAAAACAAAGTTCACAGAAATTGTCGTCACGTCATTCAAGCAAGTTGATAGCTCTACTTGTGGTGGAAATCTCACTGGTAAGGATAGAGAGAGGATTCTATCATTCTCGAATCCCCGGTAGTTGTGAGAGGGTATTAAATTGATGGGTAAATCACCCATTTAGTCATCTATTTATTGTTGAGTTTATATTTTTATCATTCAATTATATTAACGACGAGTCGAACGTGATGTCTTTTTAATATTATTTTCTCTTAATAATTTAATAATAAATTAAACAATTTATTAAAAATACATAGAATTAGAATATAAAAAAGTCAAAAGTGATCTAATAAAAAATTATTTTTAATCTCTAAAATTTTAAATTTTTATAGTTATTCAACTTTTTTACGCATCAGTTATCCTTCCTTACCCGCCGGTTACTCAACTTTTTTATGAAATAATTATCATCCAATTTTTTTAGTTTAATATAGAAAATCACCCTTTTTCGTCGATTCTTTCTACTTTTACTAGTTTTATTTATTTATTTAGTATAACATAGTTTAATAATAATATTTTCTCTTAGGTCCTTTTTTTTATAAAAGATATTATAATTATCGGTGTTTGTGGACTTTCGATGTAGATTTCTTTTCTTGGTCTTTTTACGAGTTTATGACTCTACATGATTTTGTGGTTGGTTGCTTTCCCGATGTCTGATTTCTCTGTTAGTTTGTACAAGATGATTCGTTGGTTATCGTATATATATGTGTTAGATGGAATTGTCGTTAAGGAAGAATCACTTTTTTCGTTAGTCGTTTTCACTCTTCTTCAAGTTTTTCTCCACCTTGTTTATTGCTTGGAACTGTTGGTGTATCCGTTTATGTATGACGTTGTTTCACTTGTTCATGCTTTTAGTTATCACGCTATCACTAGACGATCATTGTTATATTTTACTTATAATAGTCACGATAGTATTTGTTTATTCTGTAATTTGCAAGACGTTATTGACGTGGCTTTCGATAAATATATTCTAGTATTACTTAAAAAAATATAGAAAACCGATATTTTTTAGTTTATTGAAAATAAAATAGAAAATCATATGAAAAATATAATCGAATATTTCATTTTTCTTGGGTAACGGGCCATCCGCAAGGAGGTTTGGGGGCAAATAATGATATTTTAGCAAAAACTCCAATAAATTCAAGATAATCCTTGATTCATTGATTTTTATTAGAAGGGGTGTATGAACTATTTATTTTAAGAATAGATTAAATTCATCTAATTATTTTTCATTATACTAAATAAGAGAAGTGTATGATCCACAAATTACTTTTAAATAAATTAAAATAATTATATTTAGGAATCATAACATTTCATGATTCATTTAAATATCATGTCGACTTTGATTCTTTTTTAATCAACAATTTAAGATCATTAACATAGTTAAGACCAAATCATTTGAAGTTCAGATGTAATAAGGTATTCTTTTTATTAATATTTGCTAAATACATAAAATATTTAAAATAAATTGTGCTTTTGAGATAAAATACTCATGTTGAAAAAATAATTTGAACCTTATTTTTCCAATTCTAAATCCATGACCTATGCATAAAGAGATAAGAATGTTTTGAATTTGAATATACCTAACAAATTACAATTAGATATTATACAATTCCAAGTACAATTAGAAATTTTAAAATTATATGTAAACTTAATATTTATTATTCACTTATTATACTCTTTAGTTTTTTTGATATATTTTTTATTTTGATGAGAAGAATCCTTGAATATTCAAGTCTTGAATTAGTAATTAGTTTTTGTATTTTAGAATAAAAGTAGAGAAGAGAGGATGCCTTTGTGATCGAGGGAACCGAATTAGCTCAACGTTTAGCCACTAGATTAGACATGTCGCTTATGTTACTTTTATAGGTCGTAGGAGACCAAAATCCGCATTCCTTAATGCCACACTCTGAAACAAATTTCTGGTAATCATGTTTAAATTCATCCATAATCCCCGGGGGTGGGACATATGGTTACGATATATCGAGACCCTATCTGTAGGACTTATGATGCTACCAGAGGCGGAGAATGCTCACTACATGGCCTTGGCAATGTTATCTGTAGGAATGTTGAAATGCCTGAGCCTTCCTTGTTGTTCCATCAGGTATCCTTCACAAAGAAAAACTTTGGAGAAGTTATCCTCCACCACCCTGTCCACGTCGTGCAGGAACACATCAGATTCCCCTTCTTCTCGGTTCCTAGCCATCAAACCGGCTGTATAGATGGCGTTCATTCTCCCGGCAGATTCATCGTGGAACCCTGTGGGGGCTTCCACCATTATCTCATCCCATTCCACGTTGTAAATATCATTCGGGAACCCTTTGAGAGCAAGCTCACACTTGGAGAATGTAGGGTCACCCACCACTTTGCATTCCTCCTTCATTCCCCTCTCCATCAGATCATCCGCCCGGACTTTGGTCGCGTATTCCACGAGGTAGCATTCCA